TTCCTGCTTGTGGCAGGGGGTCAGGCCAGATGATCTGTTCAGGTCCCTCCTGACCCTAGCTACTATGAAACTATGTTACTGCTTCGCAGGGGCCACATGGACACCGACATCCTTCATTGTGGATGACAGGGGCTCGCCACCAGATGGACTGAACCTGGGGGCGGTGGTGGTGGATGAGGAGACGGGTGCCGCATTCGTGCTCTACACCCTGTGCGCCCACTACCGCCGCTGCGATGTGGCCAGCACCATGATCATCCGCAGCCGCGATGAGGGAGAGACCTGGAGCCTCCCCCGCAACCTGTCCGAGGAGATCGGCACCATCATGTTTGCCCCCGGGCCTGGCTATGGCATCCAGGTGGGGGCTGCGGGTCGGGAATGAGGGGCACCATGTGGGTTGGCAGTTAGGGGTATCCAAAGGGCTGGGAGCTGCAGGTCAGGAGTGAGGGGCACTGGGAGAGTGGAGGGGCTGCAAGTTGGGAGTGAGGGGCACAAGGGGCTGCTCAGTTGTGTTTTCCCCCTGTAGAAGCGGTTCCCCCCAGCCCGCGGGCGCTTGGTGGTCTGCGGCCATGGGACGCTGGAGCTGGACGGCATCTCCTGCCTCCTGAGCGATGACCATGGTGAGACGTGGCGCTTTGGGGGCGCCCTCAGGGGCCTCCCCTATGGGCAGCCCAAGCAGTTCCGCGACTTCAACCCCGACGAGTGCCAGGTAAGACCCAGGCATCTGGGGTGGTCACCCTCTTCAGGGCAGGGTGTGGGACCCAGGGGTCTGGGCCGGCCCTCGCTGCCCCCCCGTGTGCCAGAGAACCCAGACGCCTGGGCTGATTCCTCCCTGCCATCCCCAGGTGGATCTAGGGGACCCAGGCATCTGAGTGACCCCTGGGGGTGTGAGGGGACCTGTGACCCTCCCCCAGCTAAGTAGAGGATCCAGGCATCGAGGTTGGCCCCCCCTCACCATCCCTGGGGGTGTGAGGGGACCCATCACTCCCCACCCCCCCCACCAAGGAAGCAAGGGGACCCAGGTATCCAGGGTGTGTGGTCCCCCCAGCTGCCCCAGACATCCAGGCTGACACCTTCCCCCCATCATCCTCTCCAGCCCTACGAACTGTCGGACGGGTCACTGGTGATCAATGCACGCAACCAGAACTTCTACCGCTGCGCCTGTCGCATCGTGGCGCGAAGCTGGGACGGGGGCGAGACGCTGCCCCCTGAGGCTGTAACCTTCGACCCCGAGCTAGTGGACCCAGCTGTGGCTGCTGGTGCCCTGGCCACCTCTGGCCTCGTCTTCTTCAGCAACCCGGCACACGAGAGCAAGCGTAAGCCCCATGGGGGTTGGGGGGAGCTGGGAACCCAGGCATCCCAGGGGGAGGGTTGGGGTTAGAGCTGGGGACCCAGGCATCCACGGGTGGGGAAGGCAGGGTTGTGTTGGAGGCAGGGGACCTGGGGATCCAGGCATCCGGGCAGCCCCTCACCGCTGCTCCCTCGTGTCCCCTCCAGGGCAGAACCTGACGCTGCGCTGGAGCTTCACGGGCGGCGCCTCGTGGTGGCAGCACCCCCTGCGGGTCTGGGAGGGGCCCAGTGGCTACTCCTGCCTGGCCGCCCTGGGGACGGGGCCCGGGCACCCCCCCAGCCTCTTCCTCCTCTACGAGAAGGGGCGAAGCCAGCCCGAAGAGAGCATCTCACTGGCCAAGATCAGCATCCCTGGCACCCTCTGAGCCCCGCCCTGCACCCCTCCCCCCATGTGGCCACGCCCCCCAGGCTGGGGGCACGCCTCCTTTAGATCTAGCCATGCCCCCTAGATAGGGACATCCCTCCTCCATTTGGTCACACCCCCCAGGACAGGGAGGTGCTCCCTTTTGATCTGGTCACACCCATACCCATGTGACCACACCCCTTGTGGGGGGCATGCCCCTTCTGGCTCTGGCTCTGGCTCTGCCCCTTTAAGGGCATAGCCTCCCACTCTAACTCAGCCCCCAATAAGCTCCGCCTCCAGCTCTACTTGTCCCCCTCTAATTTATTAACCCTTTCCTTTCCAGGCCTCTCTTACTAACACCCCCCGCAACTGAAGGGCACCAGGTCCCCCAGGGGGCCACTAGCCTTTGGGGGTTCCCCAGTTGGACCCTGACAAGCACTGGTTTCTGTGGAAGAGCTCCCACTCTAGGGCTGTATTGGGGGTCCCAGTCTGACATTGGGGGGCACTGGCCTATATGGGGGAGTTCCTACTCTGATGCTGGGGGCACTGGGACTGAATGGGGGAGTTCTCAGGTTGATCCTGGACTATTGTGACGGGGGGTCCAGGCCTGGCGGGGTGGGGAGGGGCTGATTGCTCCAATCCCCCTCAGTGCTGCTGCTATGGAGTGCCTTGGTCCTGCCCTGCTCACACCCCTAGCACAAAGGGGCCTATTAACCCCTGGTGATGCTGGACTGTTACCTGACAGGTCAATAAAGGAACAAGATAGTTCATCTTGCCTGAGCTCGTGGGGTTGCAGGTGGGGAGTGAGGGGCACTGGCAGGGTCAGGGCACAGGGGTTTGCAGGTCAGGAGCGAGGGGCACTGCAGCTAATGTATTTCCCTGCCTACGACGTGCGTTCTAGCCCTGACCCGCAGAGGGCAGCACCGAGCCTGCCAATACCGGTAAGCCAGGGAGTGTTCCCAGGGGGGTCAGATGCAGCCTTGGGGTGGGGGCAAAAGTCTGGGCCGTTCCACGAAGCCCCCGGTGGCAGGATGTGGTCCCCTTGGGGCTGGCAAGGGCCAGGAACCCAGGCAAGTCGGCTCAGGCCAGGTCCAGGCCCAGTGGACTGGGGTCCTCTTGCTTCAGATGCCCGCTGTGGTCAGCAGGTTGCTTGGGAGGGGGCAATAGGGTATCTCGTAGGTCAGAAATGATGGTCGTGAACTTTCATGGGGCTGGGGGCTGCCCCCAGGGCTCACAGGCCGCATTCTGGAGTCGGGGGAGAACGGCGGCATTCGGGCTCCCAGCCCCCCTGCTCTCGTCCCTCTGCCAGAGCTGGAGAGAACCCAGGCATCTGGGCCCCACAATAACCACTTGGCCACCACAGGTCACCATTTATTTGTCGCAGGTCACAGGCAGCAGCACAGAAAGGGGCAGGGTTTATGGGGATGGGGGCGTGGCCAGGCAGTGGTGGGTGGAGTTGAGGCCCCCTTAGGGAGGTGGGATTTGGAGTATAGTGGGAAGGGCCTGGGAGGTGGGTGGAGCCAGGCAGGAACAGGTGCAGCTGCAGTGGGGCATAGTGCACAGGGCCAGGGTCAAACCTCCAAGACCGGGCAGGGCCTGGGTGAGGGTGGCAGGGCCTGGCTCCCCAAGGCATGTGGTCTACTGCAGGGGGAAGGGCCTAGCACCTAGGAGTGGGGCTAGTGAGAGCAGGGCCTAGTGTACAGGGCGGGGCATGGCTGGTCCAAGGTGGGCAGGTGGGGGCTGGTACCAAGGCAGCAGGGCTTAGGCAAGCAGGTGCAGGCCAGATGGGTGCTGGGGCAGGGCCTGCACCTGGGGGTGGGGCCTAGGCAGGCTCGCGCAGGTTGGGGTGCAGGCAGGGCCGGGGGTCACAGACGAGGCCCAGCAGGCGCCGCAGCACCCGCTCCTTGCCCTGGGCCTGGCCCCCGCGCAGAGCTTGCACCCGGCGCCGTGTGCCCGCCTCCACCTCTGCGCTCACGTGGCCCTGCGAGCCCAGCGCCTGTAGGGGGAAGGGGGTCAGTGCTGCCCCACAGAGACCCCCCGAACACCCAGTGCTCCCCAGATCTAGCCACAGCTCCCCACTCCACCTGCTATCTCCAGAGACCCCCCTCCCCTAGACTTCTCTACTACCTCCCCTATGCCACATGGCCCCACAGGCTCCCAGAGTCCCCCAACCCCTCAGCATCCCCCTACAGTGGTGCAGACCCCCCGCCCCCCCCGGGAGCCCCTAGGCACCCCCAGCTACAGCTACTCTCTCCAGAAATCCCCCCCAAGCTTCCTCACTGCCCGCAGACCCCACATGGCCTCACAGAGGTGCTCAGAGACCTCCCTGACCCTCCACCATCAGTGACAGCCCCCCCTCAAGATTTCCCCAGACCCCCACTTCCCCCTGGCATGCCCCAGCTCTTCCTACTTCCCCCAGCTCCTCTTCCCTGGACCCACCCATTGCCCTCAGCCCCCCTGGGAGCTCCCTGGGACCCCCACTTCCCCTGTCTCCCCCAAGATCCACCCCCATGCCCCTCGAGCCTGGCCCCAGCGCCTCCTCACCGCCTGCTGCTTCTGCTGGAAGTCGCGCTCACGCTCCAGCCGGTACTGCTCAATCTCGCCCTGGGCCTCCTCCTTGGCCTGCCGCAGCCGCCGTGCCTTCCCTGTGTAGGGGCAGGGACCCGTGGAGACCCCAGGCATCTGGGGGAGCCAGAGCTAGTCCCCACCCCCTCCTCCTTGCTGGCCCAGGCCTGGGAAGGAACCCAGGTGTGCGAGGGACCAGAACCCCCTGCTCTAATCCCCCCAGACTGACTCCCCTATTAGGGAACTCGGGAGCACGGGGTTCCAGTCCCCCTGCTGGTTTCTACTCCCCTCCCAGCCCCATAGTCCCCCTTGGCTCTAATTTAGGAGCCCAGCTGTCTGGATTCCCTAATAGAGAAGTCGGGGGCTGGGGGGATTAGAGCAGAGGGCTGTCGGCCCAGATCCCTGGGTTCTTCAGCAGAGGAGTGAGGGCAGGGGCGGGGAGGAGAGCTGTGGGGGATGGACATCTGGGTTCCCTCGGAGGGGTTGGGGGGTGAGCAGATGGGGCTGGGGGCCCGGACACCTGTGTTCTTTGGGAGGAGAGTGGGGGCTCGGATGGGAGCAGGGGGGCTGGGGGCCTAAGCACCTGGGTTCTCCGGGTGCCTCCCGCCCCAACCCCAATGCCTTCCCCGCCCCCCAGCTGGGGGCTCACGTTTTCGGGCCTCGGCCACCTTCTCGGCCGCCCGCTTCTCGGCCTGGAGTAGCTGCTGGATGCCCTGAGTCTGGCTGGCCATGGCGCTGCTGGAAGGATGCTGCAGTCCCCGCATCCCTGCCTGCTGCCACGGCAGCAGCCGGGTACCACGGCAACGCTGGGTCCTAGCCTCCCCCGGGTCTGGGCCTGCCGGTGCCCCTCACTCCCAACCCGCAACCTCTGCCCCCGCCAGCCGTGCTGATGCCCCTCACACCTGACCTGCAACCCTTGCCCCCTGCAGATGAGCCAGTGCCCCTCACTCCTGACCCGCAGCCCCTGCCCCCGTCAGCTGTGCCGATGCCCCTCACTCCCAACCTGCAGCCCTTGCCAGCCGTGCCCATGCCCCTCCCTCCCTACCCGCAGCCCCTGCCCCCGCCAGATGTGCTGATGCCCCTCGCTCCCGACCCGCAGCCCGTGCCCCTGCCAGCTGTGCCAGTGCCCCTCGCTCCCAACCTGCAGCCCCTGCCCCCTGCAGACGGGCCAGTGCCCCTCACTCCCGACCCACAGCCCCTGCCCACGCCAGCCGTGCCAGTGCCCCTCACTCCTGACCCACAGCCCCTGCCCCCACCAGCCGTGCTGATGTCCCTCCTGACCCGCAGCCCCTGACCCCTGCAGACGAGCCGGTGCCCCTCACTCCCGACCTACAGCCCCTGCCCCTGCCAGCTGTACTGGTGCCCCTTGCTCCCTACCTGCAGCCCCTGCCCCCACCAGCCGTGCTGATGTCCCTCCTGACCCGCAGCCCCTGCCCCCCCGTAGACAGGCTGGCGCCACTCATGTCCAACCTGCAGCCCCTGCACCCATCCTAGCTGGGCCGGTGCCCCTCATTCCTGACCCCCAGCCCCTGCGCCCCCCAGCTGTGCCAGTACCCCTCAGTCCCAACCTGCAGCCTGCAGCTAGCCCAATGCTGGATTCCCAAGTTAGTTGGTGCTGAGATGCAGCTGCTTCTGGGGTGGGGCACGTTGGGAGCAAAGGGGTCTGGGAGCCTGGACACCGGGGTTCTACCTCAGTCCTGGGGGTGGGGGGAGTGGGAGCCAGAGGGGGCTAGAATAGCGGTGGGGCTGGGAGCTGCAGCTGACTCCGGGGGGGGGGGATAACAGGGACAGGAGCTGCGGCTGGCTCCAGGGTTCAGGGTTGGGTGCAATGGGAACAGGCGCTGCGGCTGGCTCTGGGGGGGTGTCAGGCCTGGGTGTAACGGGGGTAGGCGCTGGGGCTGGCACTAGCATAACAGGGCTGGGCCCCACGGGACGTGGGTAGGGGGGAAACGTGACTAGGGATGTAGTCAGGAATGCACTTGGATGCAGCTAGGGCTCGCATGACAATGGTCTGTTACTTTGGCACTGGCCACAGTCAACAGCGTGGCCCTATTGATGTGGTGGAGGTCCCATGACGATGGTGTGGCACCATGATGGGTGCAAGGGTCGCAGGACGCTAGCATGACACCATGAGGTGCATGGCAGGTCACATGACAATAGCATGGTGCGGTGGTGGGGTCACATGACAATAACATGACGCAATGTGAGCAGGGTTATATGACCAGCATGGAGCAGGGGTTGGCGGGCACACAAATAGTGTGGCACCATGTTGGCAGCAGTCACGTGAGAATAGTGTGGCACCCTCTGGGGTCACATGAATAACATGGCATCGTGGTGGTGAGGGCCACGTGACAACAGCATGGTGCCATGTTGAAGGGGGTCATGTAACAACAGTGTGGGCCCAGGGTGGTGGTCACATGACACTAGTGTGGCACTTTGGCACGGCAGAGGACATGGGACTGGATGGTGTGGCACTATGATGCAGGTGGAAGTCCGGTGCGACTAATGACGTCACGCGCCCACGGCCCGCCAACCAAGACTTTGCCTCGCAGTCCGAACCAAACGACTCCCGTCTCCATAGCAACGCCCTGAAGCCCCCTCCCTGCGAGCGGGAAACGCTCTCCTCCCACTGAAGCGGAGGGCTATCTACTTCAGCCGCCTGAGCAGAAACCTGCGGGGGGAGCGAGTGCGTCTTCTCTCTGGGCCGGGACATCAACCCCCGCGCGTCCCTTATTGAGACCTCTAGAGGGAAGGGGAGGACATCCCCCACCCCTTTGTTTTATACAGGCACCTGCTGACGGCAGCCGCATGGTGCGGGGTCCTGACGCACACCCCGCCTTCCGCCTCCTGCCGGAAGTGGAGGTTGCGCGCTCATTTGACTTTGGTCGCTGCCGAGAGAAGCCATTGTTGCCCCGCCCCCTCCCGCAAGAGGTAAGAGGGGTGTCCCCGCCCGCCATCCCCCGCGCATCGCTGCCATCTGGAGCCGTCCACTCCTCCTCACCGCCCGGGCTCCGTCCGCCGGCGACTCCCCGCCCGCGGGGCCCGCTAGGGGCCCCCTTGCACCCCTGGAGGCCCCGGGCCCGGCTGGGAAAGGAGGGGGGGACCTCCCCATTGTGGGCCTATGGCGGGGAAATCCAAGATGGCGCGGGCGCCGCTCGGCTCCCGGCC